TGGCATCTAGTGGGTAAGGTGAATGGCCTACACAGCTCCTTACTACAAAGAACTATCTGATCCAAAATGTCCGTAGTGCTGAAGGGAAGAAGTCCTGCCCTACAGCCTCCTTTGTATTTGATAGCACAACTGCTGCTAAATCATGGCTGTCAAACCAATTTTAGGGAAGAATGAAAAAAGGGCAAGAGTTTTACCACTTGAACTATGAAGCCAGGTAGCAGCCCCTGATGACAGTTCTAGCTCTGTTTTCCTTTACGGTATATTAGATCCCAGAGGATGCTGCTTTCTGATTAATTTCATTAATATACTGTCATATCCCCTACCAGAGGTTAGAGTAAGGCTTTAAAAAAAAAAAAAAAAGTTAGGACATATCTTTTGCACAGGGATCCCCAGGCCATGAACAAGTACCTGTTTGTTGCCTGTAAGGAACTGCGCCGCCCACCAGTGGGCAGGCAAGCATTGCAGCCTGCACTCTGCCTTCTGTCAAATCAGTGGCAGCATTAGATTCTCAGAGGAGCTTGAACCCTCTTGTGAACTGTACAGGTGAGGGATCTGGGATGCGTGTTCCTTATGAGAATCTAATGCCTGATGATCTGAGGTGAACAGTTTTATCCCAGAAGCACCACCTCGCCCTGCCCATCCATGGAAATACAGTGTTCTGTAAAAGCCATCCCTGGTGCCAAAAAAATTGGGGACCGCCGTGTTAGGGGAATAAAAGGTCAGGAGGGAGAAAGAATATTACTAAGCTTGTTTAGGGGTTCTTTCAAATGAGAGAATATATTCATTTATAGCAGAGGGTAAATCTAAATAGAATATGGTCTGAATATTCTATTAGGAATATAATACAATATATTCCTATCTGGAAAAGAGTCTAGTCTCTCTTTTCCAGATAGGAATATAATTTACAAAAAGAATTCAAATAATTGTTTTAGCCAAATATATATGGTAGGTATGGATAAAGGGAAATTGGAATGGGGCTGGTTAAGTGACATCATAAAAAGAGCTTTAGTTCCTGGAGTTTACCCCACATTTCACATATTTAGTACAGTTTCTCTTTTTTTTTTTTTTTTAAAGGTTTCAGTTACTACTTAATGGGAATGCAAATGAAACTTTGATTTTTTTTTTTTTTTCTTCTCAAGTGTTCCAAGACCTGCGGACGAGGAGTGAGGAAGCGTGAACTCCTGTGCAAGGGCCCTGCCTCAGAGACCCTCCCCGAGAGCCGGTGTACCAGCCTCCCCAGACCCGAGCTACAGGAGGGCTGTGTGCTCGGACGATGCCCCAAGAACAACCGGCTACAGTGGGTCGCTTCTTCGTGGAGTGAGGTATGGTTTAGAAGTCCCTGCTGGGGGTTTTCTGAGATGCTCACCTTACCTGCTAGCAGCTAGGCTCACAAAAGTCCTTCCTGTTGCACATATTTATACCCAATGCCTGCTCATTGCCATTTCTGCTCTCCTGAGTGCTTCAGCAAACATTGCTAACCCCCACATTGATCAGGCCTATGCCTGTCTGTGGGGGGACAAGACTTCGTAAAGCACACACAGAGAAATATGGATAAGGTATGCTAAACGCCTTGATAAAGTCTGCTTTGGTGGGGAGCTCAAGGTTCACCCAAGCTAGACTTCAGGACGAACCCTTGTCAGAAGAGACTGACTTTCTAGGGAGCATGGCCTCAAAGATGGGCAGGAATCTAAGCAGCAGGGGAGTTGGGGGAAGGCTGTCCCAGACAGAGGGTACAACCTCTACAAAGGAGGATGCACACTGAGTAAAAAGGAGACGTGTGCTGGGGTGGAAAACTTCATCAGGACAGATCAGGAGGGGCTTAGGTGATACATTAGAAATAGATCTTACAAATACTGGGGAGCCAATTTATTTATTTCTGAGACAGGGTCTTGCCCTAGAGTTCAGTGGCACAATGTCAGCTCACCGCAGCTTCCACATCCCTGACTCAGGTGATCCCCTACCTCGGACTAGAGGCATGTACCACTATACCTGGCTAATTTTTGTAGAGATGTGGTTTCACCATGTTGCCCAGGCTATTCTCAAACTTCTGGGCTCAAGTGATCTGCTTCAGGCTCCCAAAGTGGCGTAATTACATGCCTGAGCTACTGCACCCAGCCTAAAAGGGTATTTTTAACCCTCATCATGTTAGCTCCTCTGTGCTAGAGGTTGGGTGAACATAAAGGGCAATTATTTGCTGTACAGTGGTTCTTCCTATTGAGCTCTTAATCTTTGTATCTGGCCCTTACCCTCCTCGTCTCAGATTCCTAACCCCTCAGGCCGACCTGGACCCATAGGTATGTAACTCCCAACCTGGAAATCCTTCTGCCCATCTTGTCTTTCTCTTGGACTCTGTCTCACACCCATGTAGCATCTCAAAGTCCCCTTTTGTTTTATGATGCTTATGATCCCTATGATTTTGAGAAAGGCACTTGAGTTCTCTGACCTTTGGTTTCCTTATGTATAGCATGAGGTACTTGGCTGCTGTGTCTTTAAGATCATTGAGTGAGTGTGGCTGACCTTATGTCAAACTGCATCTGCTCAGAAGATTTGACCATGGGGCTCTGCACTTTTCTACATCCTGTCTTGGCTCCTAGTGTTCAGCATCCTGTGGTTTGGGTGTGAGGAAGAGGGAGATGAAGTGCAGCGAGAAGGGCTTCCAGGGAAAGCTGATCGCGTTCCCAGAGCGAAGATGCCGTAATATCAAGAAACCGACCCTGGACTTGGAAGAGACCTGCCACCGAAGGGCTTGTCCAGCCCATCCAGTGTACAACGCAGTAGCTGGATGGTATTCATCACCATGGCAGCAGGTGGGTCCAGGCAGATTTAGGCGGTTTCTATGCAAATGAGATGTGAGAAAATGAGGCATGCAGTTAGTCAGTTTATGATCATACAAGTAAGACAGCTAAGGGCTGAGGTTTTGAAGGTAGAACAGGTTTCGTTCTTTGGCCAACTCTGCTCCTGTGGCCCTGGGCAGTCTGTAAACCTCAGTTTTCATTTCTAGACAATTAATATCTGGCAGAGTTGATTTGTTGCCATTGTATGTAAAACATTAGGCCCCAGGCCAGTTATATCCTGATGATGTTGGTCATTGCTGCTATTGAAACTGCCTCTCGAGTGTTTGTTTTAGAAATGCTGCTCACAGCCTTTACTCATTTGGTTCCTACATCATGTTTCTGAATAATGTAAGAGCTAATATTTGTCAAGCCAGTACTATGCATGGTGCTAGGTACTTTACACGTGTTTCCTATTCCTGGGTAGTACGGTCCCTGAAGCTCAGAGTGTCAGGCAATTCAGCCAAGGATGCTCAGCTTTTAAACTTACCAGATGCTAGAGGCCTCCCCATTTTCACAAGACATGGGTGAAACTTTGGCTAGGACTGGTGTGTGATGCTGAGTCTGAGAGAGCATTATGTCCTCAGAAACCCAAAGCTGTGTTGTGGTCCTTCCAGCATTCCAGCCAACAGATGTTGTCACACAGCTCTTCACACACGAGGACTTGACTGCTGCCCACCTCACCATTAATCACAGGGGCCGGGTAGAGGCCTACATACTGTGTACGTATCTATTCAGGAGGATCTGGAAAAGCAAAACAAACATGGATGAGAGGAAAGGAAATTAGCATGATTGTCTCTGGGCAGGCATTGTGGTAGCTGTTACACATACTGCTATGGATTGTTTTTTTAATTGACTCTAAGAAGATAATTTAGATTAACAGGTCAGCAAACAGCTGCCAGCAGACCAAATCTGCTCCCCAAGTATCTGCCTGTGTTTTATAAATAAAGTTTAACTGGAAGGTAGCCATGATCATCCACTTATATATTGACTGAGCTACTTTAGTGCTACAGAAGCAGTGAGGAGTATTTGTGACAGAGGCCACATGCCCGTACAGCCTGAAATATTTACTATCTTGCCCTTTACAGAAAAAATTTACAAACTCACTCATGGTTTACATAATTTGATAACAAGAGTTGCCCTCAAGGAGCTCATGTTTTAATTGAGGAGAAAGAAACTACAGTCAATTACAATGCATATGTACATTTTTTAAAAATGCAGTGAATTGTTAAGAAAAGTCCATTTAAAGGGCTACATTTTTTCCTGGTTATTCTTTTGTTATGAAATATGTTTATATTAATTTTTCATATGTCTTTCTGGGAAAAAGGCAATTACTTGTTTACTTGTTTCATTGCACACTGACTCACACCTGTAATCCCAGCACTTCGGGAGGCCGAGGCAGGCAGATCACGAGGTCAAGAGATCTAGACCATCCTGGCCAACATGGTGAAACCACATCTCTACTAGAAATAAAAAACATTAGCTGGGTATGCATGCCTATAGTCTCAACTACTCAGGAGGCTGACAGGAGAGTTGCTTGAACCTGGGATGTGGAGGTTGCAGTGAGCCAAGATTGTGCCACTGCATTCCAACCTGGCAACACAGCCAGACTCCATCTCAAAATAAAAAGCACCAACTCTATCATGCCAACTCAGAGTTGAGCTGGGCACCGAGCTAATTCCAGAGCTGTGTCTGACCATTTCTTTCTCTCCTAGTTTTGAACTATCTCCTTCACTACTGCAGCTGCTCAGATTGTCTGGAATTCTTTAAATGCTGTGATTAACTCCCAAGATGTGTCTGTATTTGTTTCTACATTCTTAGAGAAGCTTCTGTATTTCTGGAGCTTCTCTTCTTTATGATTCACTTAAATGGGAGACACACACTCTTGGGCTAGATAGAGAGTGTTTGCCTAAAACCCTTCTAATCAGATCAAACGGCTCTCACTTGTTAGGATAGATGCTATGGACTCTAAGCCCCTGTGCCTGGCTCCAGCCAATCTGTTTCATCAGCAGGCATCTTGGTAATGTCACAAAGCATGGGAATTCCTTCTGTTTGATGTCACTGACCTCAGCAGAGTGTTTCTGACTTCTTCCTCTTCTCTTTCCTGCAGTGCACAGTCACCTGTGGGGGAGGGGTCCAGACCCGATCTGTCCAGTGTGTTCAGCAAGGCCGGCCTTCCTCGAGTTGTCTGCTCCATCAGAAACCTCCGATGCTACGAGCCTGTAATACAAACTTCTGTCCTGCTCCTGCAAAGACAGGTAAAAGGTGCCATGCTCCAGTCAACATTACTAGTCTCTAGATAATTTTCTCAAAACCTTCTTTGTTGGTTGTGCAGCCTGTGGCATCGTACAACTCTAGGGTGAGCCATTTGCCCACAGCCTGTGACAGTGCTCCCTGGAGTTGTATAAGGCACCACTCTGGGGACGTTCCTGTCCAAATGTTCTTTTTGAGACAGAGTCTTGCTGTGTCGCCCAGGCAGGAGTAGACAGCTCACTGTAACCTCCCCCTGCCTGGTTCAAGTGATTCTCCTGCCTCCCGGGTAGCTGGGATTACACCTGGCTAATTTCTGTATTTTTAGTTGAGACAGGGTTTCACCATGTTGACCAGGCTGGTCTCAAACTCCTGACCTCAAGTGATCCACCCACCTTTGCCTCCCAAAGTGCTGGGATTACAGGCACAAACCACATGCCCAGCCTGTCCTAATGATCTTGTTTGTTTGAGTCAGAAGGGAATATTTAACACTCTTTAGTTATTAATAAAAGTGAACAGGAATACCCCTCAAGGAGCTCATATGTTAATGGAGGAGAGAATTCAAGTCAAGTGCAGTGACTACTGATAGGAAACTGAAAAGTCTGACTAAATTATACCACTCTTCACCGGTCTAACTTATTTTAAAGTAGTCTGACCAATGCCAGGGAATATTTTTCAGCCTCATCTGCTTTCCTCGTGCTAAAGAATCGTTTTCTAGCATGTAAGTGCTGGGTTTTCTTTTATCCAGTCACAGCTTTTCTAACTTGTGGCAAACCACATTCAAGACTCTTACTTACTGGATTTTCTATCTTGTCACTTATCTATTTCTTTTTTTTTAGATAGGGTCTCACTGTGTCACCCAGACTGGAGTGCAGTGGCACAATCACGGCTCACTGCAAAAAATGCTGGGGTTCCAGGCATGAGCCACCACACCCAGCCATGCTTATCTACTTCTTATTATAGTTTTAGCTCTATACTCAGGCATCGATTTTCCATGCTCTGCTCTCTTTTCTCATGTTATCTGAAACCTGAACAAGACCAAAAAAATTAGCTCTTGTAGCAGTTACTGAGAACCAGTTCATCCTAGTCCATGCTGGGGTACTACATAGAGAGGAAATGAGCAACAGGTCATGTTTTCCCAGACTCTGTCCTCCTCTCTTCACTGTTGGGGATTTCTCATTTCTACCCTTTAGTTAGATTGCCAAAGATTCAGCCTCGAAGGCCATAGGCATCCCCAAGGACAATGGCCAATTAGGAAGTTGCCCACCAGTATCTCCTGGGCAGGATGGGGATATGAGGAGAGTCAACATACATGTATGGCCTCAGACAACAGGGAGGCCATTTGTCTTTCCTGCACCTAATAGCACACTGGGCATACAGTAGGTGCTCAGTAAGTCTTACATGAGTAAATGAGTATATGGCTAAATGAAATATTTTGTGCTGTGAGGTCCTGTACGTCATTCAAAGGAAAATCACTAAGAACCTGATGTAAACCTCTAGCACTTTTCTACTGAGAAAAGAATAAAGCTGGGTCCTGTTCTTAAAAGAAAGCTACAACAGAAAATGTAAGTGGAGTATTCACAATGTTACAATGATGGTCAGTTCTTGAGTTTCTGGAATGAGGGGAGTCATAGGGTGCATATGAGAAAAGGCTTACTAAAAGAGGAGCTTGGCTAGGTGCAGTGGCTCATGACTCTAATCGCCACACTTTGGGAGGCTGAGGATCACCTAAGGTCAGGAGTTTGAGACCAGAGTGGCCAACATGGTAAGACCCTATTTCTAGTAAAAATACAAAAACTAGCCAGGTGTGGTGGTGGGCATCTGTATTCTCAGCTACAGGGGAGGCTGAGGCAGGAGAATCATTTGAACCTGGGAGGTGGAGTTTGCAGTGAGCCGAGACTGCCGTACTCCAGCCTGGGCGACAGAATAAGACCCTGTCAAGAAAGAAAAGAGTAGCTTCCCTCTGCACCTCTTGGCTGAGTCCAATCCCTTTTAGAAGAATAAAGGATACAACAAGCCCAAGTATGTGTTCTGGGCCAAAAATGTGGGCTACAGTTTACTGAGTGGAGGATTTACTCCCATTCCCATTCCAAGTGTAGGGGTGATGGCGTGCCTAAATTACTGCCCGCTTGGCAGAGTGCCCACTATGTAAGTCATTTGAGTGTATTTTCTGACTTTGAGTTTTCAGAAAACATTAGTGAGCAGTAAGGATGCCCATGGTGACACAGTCAAGAAGATTCCATTCCTTGACTCTTCTCTGAGACCCCTATTAGGGGCCAAGCCCTGAGGTAGGCACTGTGAGGGTTTCCTCCCCTCATGGAGCTTATACATGGGTAGAAGTTTCTACCCATTATAGTCACTTAAACTGGACCCTAGAGAAGACTATTCTGCCCATGGTGGCATCATCCTGCCTTCCAGTGTCACTAAACGGCTTTGTTGTCCTCCAGACTCCTGCCCATACTGACTGCCAGTCTAGAGCCGTTCATTATATCCCATCATGAGGGTGTGAGGCCTTATCTGGGTGTCTTGGTTGGATCTCCACCTGGGGAAACCATCCTTATGACTGCACTGTATAGATTATAGGTAAAATTCTCTTCAGAGAAAGAGAGAAGGCCCTAAAGCAGTAATACCACCCAGCCTCCCCCGTAGCTGAGAATACAGATGCCCACCACCACGCCTGGCTAGTTTTTGTATTTTTATTAGAAATAGGGTCTTACCATGTTGGCCACCCTGGTCTCAAACTCCTGACCTTAGGTGATCCTCAGCCTCCCAACGTGTGGGAGTGGTATTGTGTCACACTGCATGGAAACTGGTTGTTTTCATGTCTGGAAGCTGCCTGGGCTGCAGACTAGTCATACTAAGTTGAGGATGACCAGGCACTCAGTACTAATTCAATACTAATAAGCTACTCCTCACAGAATCCCACATCTTCAGATGGGATCAGGCAGCATTGCGTGGTGGAAGGAGCAAGGGACTGTAAAATCATAAAAATAGAGTTGAATCCACACTAACTTGACACGTAATCGCTATGGAGCTTTGGGCAAGTTTAGAACTTTCTGAGCATTCAAAAAACCGGGAAGTAATGCTTACTTTGAAAGATTGTCGTGAGTATGGAAGAGGTAATTCAGTTTTTGCCGCATTTCTTTAGTGCTTACTATGAACCAGACACTGTTCGGGTGTCTGATGACAAAAGCAGTAACCAGCTAAACAGGCACACATCCCACCTTCTGACAAGCTTGCTTCTAAATGGACACAGACAACCGGTAAACACAGTGTGAGAGAGTACAGTAGCAGGGGTGAGAAGACAGGAAAACAAGTTTAGGTTGTAATGATACTTGATGACTGAGCACTTGAACAGAGACTTCAAAAAAGATGAGGCACATATGGATCTAGAAGGATTGTTCCTGGCAGAGAGACAGCAAAGAGGCAGGAGTTTACAAATCTAACACAGGAACACCACAACGCTTGCAATGCTTGCAGTACAAGAAACAAGGTGCAGTGTGGTTAATACATGAACAGTGGTACTGGAGGCCTGGTCGGTCAGCATGAGGACTTCAGGTTTAACTCTGAGTACAGTGGAAGCCTTTGAGCAGAGGAGCAATGGGATCTAGCTTTAGGAAGATCACTGGCAGTTAAGTTGAAAAAGTGCAGGTTGCCTAGAGTAGAACAAGGACTTGTCAACTCTTTGTCAGTAAGCAGATGGAGGAGGTTCCCCTAGAGCAGTGGCAGTACTGAAGACCTGGAGGCTGGGTATGTTTCAAAGATTGAGCCAAGAGTATTTGCTGATTGCATGGAGAATGTGAAGCAAAGAAAGGATTCCAAGGTTATCTTCAATAGAGTAAATCAAATTCCTGACTCACAGTAGACGCTTCAACAACCAGCTGTTAGTAATTATTATAATCAAAAAAGCACTTACACTGATAGCACAGTAATAACACGTCACTTCTACTTCCTGGCTTACATGAAGGGGATGTCTAAACAGAAATTTTAGGCAGAACGATCAAGGCTTGAAGAACCAACTCTAGGCATTTCTGAATTATGCATAGTAGAGACTCTAAGTAACTTTTAAGTCAAAACTGTGCCTTAAGAATACAGCAAAATGAGCCAGGGGTGGTGGCTCACATCTGTAATCCCAGCTCCTCAGGAGGCTCAGGCAGGAGAATTGCTTGAACGCATGAGGTGGAGGTTGCAGTGCGCTGAGATGACGCCATTGCACTCCAGCCTGGGCAACAAGAGTGAAACTCCATCTCAGACCAAACAGTAAAATGACTGGGCCCTTGCTCCTAAAACATGCACTTATGTTTACATACACATTCACATGCATTTTCTATCTCCTGAGGCTCATCTAAGTATGAATTCCTGATGTATAGTGAAATAATCATATCTGTCATGTTCATTGAGCAACCAAAGAAATTAGGAAGGACTGGTGTTGACTTAAATTTATTTACTTGCAAACTGGCTGAGATTGACTTAAACCTACATAGAATGTTAGTGACCCAGCTTCTTAAGTTAATCTCAGCCAGTTTGCATGCAAATTCAGGTGGCTTGACTCCCAATATATCAGGCTCTTTGCTCCTGAAATTAAAGTTCAGGGACCAGCAGCACCAACCTGCCCTAATGCCCATCCACCCTACAGCCCTTCTGAATCAGAACTAGTGGTTTAACAAAATCCCTAGGAGATTGCTGATGCACTGTATTTCCCTCCACACACAATTCAGTGGTGGCTTCCAGGCTGTATACGGAGGATCAGACATTGATCTTGGATTAGATATTACATTTTTTTTTTTTTTTTTGAGATGGAGTCTTGCTTTGTCGCCCAAGTTGGAGTGCAGTGGCGCTATCAGGGCTCACTGCTACCTCCACCTCCTGGGTTCAAGCCATTCTCCTGCCTCAGCTTCTTGCATAGCTAGGACTATATAGGCACATGCCTCCATGCCTCGCTACTTTTTTGTATTTTAGCATAGATGGGGTTTCACTGTGTTGCCCAAGCTGGTCC